TCTAATAAATCAGGTATTTCTCGTGTTGGGATTCCGTCATAGGGTTTCCCTCCAAAGGTCATCAGTTCCCAGATAGTGACTCCTAAATTGAAGATCAAATTTTTACATAAATGTATTAATACTTTCAACAAGTCAGCAATTATACGCAGGCAAAAGAATGCTCCATAAAGATGAGTCAAAAGTGAGTTTTTAAAAAAAGTTTTCAGTTACCTATATCCATGATGAGAACCCCAGTACCAAAACCTTTGTGGAGAGTTCAATTTTCTTATGACTGTCTTGGAAGAGAATATATAGAGTGGACATCAGCATATAATCTATCCCTTCCCTATTCTACTTATGAGTAATGTTTGCAGATCTAATTTACATTTCACCATGCCACATTACAGCCCCTCAAATAATATATTTACAATATATAATATGTATTCAATCCCAATAAATATAATTGCAGGCAAAATCTGCTACTGAATGATTCTCGCATTAGTATCTTCACTATAAAAACCCTAAATGGTTAAACTGGAGTTTCAGCCTTATTTCCTGATGTTATGGTAAAAAACTGTGACTCTCTTCTTAACTGATGCAAAGAAAACCCAGGCTGCCTCTGAGAGGCTGAAGGAGGACCTCTCTGTACGTGAGATGTAATACCTGTGAAGTGAGCATCCACAGAATTGAAGGGAAGGAAGAATCGTTTATTCCTTAGGTAATAAATGACTTTCTTGAATTACTAAAACATTAATTTTCTCTGAGAAAGCATATCCTGAATTTTAGCATGCAAACAGCCAGGTTTGATGATAATAATGATTCTGATTTAAGCAATAATATATACACTGAAGCAGTGGTTCTCAACCTTCCTAATGCTGCAGCCCTTTATTACAATTCCTGTGGGTCACGACCCACAGGTTGAGAACCGCTGCTCTAAAGATATATTCTTTATGATATAATAAACATATAATGAAAAAATATGTTTTTCTTAAGGATAAAGATTTTTAAGTTCAGAAATAGCTAGTTGGGCACAACAGTATTACAAAATGAAATCTGATTGACGAACCTCACATAGGCATCTTTTGACATAAAATTCATTAATTCGGGCAGTATTTTCTTTTCCACTGCCATCTGTAGTGAATTATTGATTCAGACTGAAGTATTTTTTTAGTTAACTGTTAGTAACATTTATGATTGCCTAATAACAAAAATACAAGGCTTAAAATATAAAAGTATTAGCCTTCATAATACTTCAAATTAGCCTTCATAATATAATCACTAAGAATTCACTTTTTGATAATTTTACATCTTATAATTTTAGGTATAATGTACATATGTAACTAGTGACATAATTTAATTTATTGATCATTATTTAATTTTTCATATTGAGTAGTTTCATAGAACCAATGATTAAAATTTAGTATC